ATGCAGGGTAAAGTCAACATCTCGCTCTAGAACAGCAATGCCCACAGTCAAAGCATAGCATGTGCTTCAGCAGCTCATTTTTAACCCTTCAGGCATGGGCTGAAATGTCCTTTTATGGCAGTGTTCAGAGTCAGCCTGTAAACCTCAGAATCCCCTCAACATTCTTTGCCAGCCCTCCAACTCAACTCTCTGTTCCAAGTTCAATCATCTTGCCCAGAGTCGCCTTCTCCCAACTCCAAGCAAGGGATCCTCATTTCTAGCCCTCCTTGTCCCACGAATCCCTTGAATAGTCCCTGGCCTAAGCAGACTTAGTTCTGGACATATTAAATGATGGTTTCTCAGCTCTCCCCTTTTCCAGACCTTCTATTCTACACTCCATTTGCCAAGGTGGTCAGGGAGCCCTACGCCTTGCCCTACGCCCTCACACTTTTTAATGATGCCACCTTTTTTATAACATCTAATTATCTACTCCTTAGGCCCCTTCCCTCAGAGTGACCTGCTGAAACCAGCACTGCAAATCCGGCAGATTCATCTCGACAGGAGCTGCCAAGTGTCCTCACTCTGTGCAGACGTTCCCCTATATTAAAGGCAATATCATCACTCCTAACCTACTAGATGAAAGTGTTCTCAATCTGCACACATTTCAGGAAGTTTCATGTAATAGGAAAAATTTCAAAGTGCAACAGAAATGAATCTCTGTGCTAAGAGACTGTCACCAGCACCCCAGGCTCACCGCAATCCTTAGCCTCCGGAAAGCAAGTAATTCATTCATCTGTTGTATTTTTAATGTCTTTATCTCTTGACAGTGTGCTGCTCTGTTTATAAGCTGTAAAATGTTTGGGATCAGATGTCTGCTCCTCAAATCTGCTACTTTTGGCAGGGTTTTCAATACCTCAGGGTACTGTTTTGGACAATTTCAGTAATTCTCCACGTAAGCTTACAAAGGCCCATTCTCTCAAATGCACTGATTGTACTCTCTCACTTGGTACATTTTGTCCAACACAGACAAATTTGCCTTTCTCTGGGTTTGGTGTAGCCAGGAAAAGAATTATGTTGTGTCTCTTCACTCTTAGCTTGCTAGTAAATCTCCCCAGCATACTACATTTAGCAATGTATTGTGCTTATTGTCCGACCACTAACTGGAAGGTAAGCTCCCAGGAGGGCAGGCATTTGTCTTTGGTCTCTGGCTAATCCCATTGGCCTGTGCTATAACATAACAGTGCCTGGCACAAAGTATAAGTGCAATAAATACTTGTTAAATTAAGTAATTAATCTCTAGCTATAAAAGTTTAACCTGAATGCTTTGGAACCTGTTACGTTGAAGCAAGGTGTACAGTTTGAACTGAGAAATGCCTCATGGGCTTTGAGTAAAGAGTAAAGGAGGGCATGACCATTCCATTCCACACTAATGGTACGGATTACCCCATGAGGGGCAAGAAACATAACATTTCTTTGTGTTCCAAACTGACTCAAATCTGGCTCAATACCCACAAAAAAAAAAAGTTTCCCAAAAGTTCAATAAAAGTCACCTTTGTGGATTACTTCCCCTTCCATTCTTTTAAACAAGAAATCTAGAGCTATGGAGTCCAAAAATATGGGATGGGGTTGGTACTCTATTTTGATCACTGATGATCTATGTTTATGGTAACAGAAATGGCTCCACCCAAAGCTCTTCTCCCTTCGTCCCACACTCAGCCATGGGGATGCTCACTGAAGTTCCCAAGATGGTAGCACCTAGTGTCCAGTCTATATGGTCAACCACATGGCCATCTCCATGTGAGATTCCTGCATCCACAAAGGAGTTCCTTCCCAATGGGATCAAGCTCTGCCACTAATTGAAACTATAAACTCTGATTCCTTTCCCAGTCCTCAAATATCATCCAATATCCTAGATTTATTTCATTTTCCTCTTAAGTCTTCTTCCTTCCCATCTCTCAAACAAAAAAAATTATTCTTACCTTCTTTGCTATCTCTCATAATGGTGTATGATAACCTCTTCTTACAGATGGACAAAACCCAGACCCTAGAAACAAAAATAGCTGATTTGTCTTTCTTAGGGAACAAATATAATCCAGGTTTTAGAACATTCTAGATGGTGGTGGAGTAGGGGATTTCAGCTAGTATTGAGTTCAGCTGCTTGGGACATAAACCCAAAAACAACAATGACCTTAAAAAGACAAATTTTTATTTTACCTCCCTTAGAAGAAGTCCTGAGATAGCCTTCAAAGCAGGCATGTAGTCTCCTATCCCAATGTTCTAACAACTGTAGCATGCCACCTCATGACCCATGGCAACTGCTCATGCATTGACCATATGCTTATAGCAGAAAGGAAAAGGATAAAATGTGCGTGACAAATGCCTTTCAAGATTCCCTAGGGCAGCCATAATCATTCATTATAGCTCATTGACCAGTACATAGTCACATAGCCAGACTAGTTATAAGGGAAGCTAGAAAATGTAGTCTTTATTCCATGTGGCCAGATTGGATATTGGAGAAGGCAACTAGCAGTCTATGCTACAGAGGGTGAACATTCATTCTGTTCTTTCATGATGAGTTGGCAGCAGTGAAAAGAAAACCTCAGAGATTACTGAATAGTTCTCAAAGCTATATTAAAATATGAATAAATAATTTTTTATTCTTTGAAATTTAGGACCCATCTCAAGTCTCAATTGCTACTTGCCCCTCACTTTGGATCAAGGTTAGGGACAGAGACGAAGTCATTTGTCATCCAGATCTTCTTAGAATTCTTTTGTCATCTGAGCTGGGCTCAGATAGATAAATAGATATTCATAAGATACATAATAATAAAAGAGTGAGGTATAAGATAATCAAAATATAAAATAAAGCCTAATTTCAACTCTATGAAGTTTAGGCATAAAGCATTGAAGTGCTAGAGTAAGTAGTATCCTGTCCCCACCTCCATTCCCATCAAACTATAAGCTTGAAGAATCTGTATTATTTTTTTTATGTACCCCAGAATCTTCCATATAGCCAGCACTCAGCTTTTCTGCATTGAGTTGAAATGGATAATAATACAAATAGACATGAGAACTTCTATGAAAAGAAGATGATAAAGAGTTTAAAAGATTTTAATATTAAGGATATGGCAGAAAACAGAACTGCACCAAAAGTTGGCAGACCTGGGTTCTATAGCTGTCTTCACTATTTATTGCTTATTTGATCTCAGTTTCCCTCTGTGGAAAATGGAGGTTATAACTCTACTCCTGCCCTTCTCCTTCAGGTTTTAGTGATGAATACATATTAACTGGAAAGTGTTATACAAGACATTACTTTTTTGTATTCTTCTTCATATACCTACCCAGTAAGTATTCCAGATCAAGGAATCTTTGCAAATTGAGGGGATAATCAAAACAAGAGAGGAAAAGGGAAGCATGCACTGGGGTGAAGAGCCAAGGTGACAGACATATTTAGGGGTAGCTTGTCCGAAATCTCATCATCACCTAATGAATATTTAGAAAACCCAAGGATATGTTAGCAGGTTTATTATTCTGGAATTGGGAAGGGAAAAAAAAATCAAGAAGAGTTGCTAGAGGATTACATATATTATTCTATAATTATAATTATATATAATTGTATAATTCTTATGATATTTTGCATAAGAATTTCATGAGTTAAACTTTTAAAAAAATGATCTTCATTGTAATTTGATCTAAATAATATATTTTATGATAGTAAACAATTTATGGTAACCTATTAGGCCTTTAATATAGGAAATTTATCTCATGAGATATTAAGACTTTGTCTTATAATAATTTGAATATTTTTACATTGTGATAACATTGAGAAAATATAGCTGTTTTTACATCAAATTCTTGGCAAGGTGGGGTGGCTCACGCCTATAATCCTAGCACTTTGGGAGACTGAGGCAGGAGTATCACTTGAGGCCAGGAGTTCAAGGCTATAGTGAGCTATGACTATGTCACTGCACTCCAGCCTGGGCAGCAGAGCAAAACCCCATCTCTAAAAAAATAAAATAAATCAAATTCTTAACTTACTCTTATATGTAACCTGGTAACCAAAGACATTATCTCAACTTGTAATTAAAATGTTTTCTTTCCCAGAACTTAAGTTACCAAAAAAAAAAAACCACTTTTCCTTAAAAGAGCTAAAATATTTAAAGCATCAGGAGTTAAATTTGTTTCTCTGAAATTTCTTGAATTTGCTCATTTTTAAATTTATGTATGTGCTGTATATAAATCAATTAGCAAAAGAGCTCTCATAGATTTTGAGCAATCTTATAATTTATTCCTCTCTCATTTTAAAGTGCCTCTTAAATAAATAATGCTGTTCATGTCAAAAGTTCCCCAAAAATGGCCACTGCAATTTCAAGTACTTCTTGATAAAGTTATGCGTTTTGAAAGATAAACACAAGAATGTGCATACACAAAGTCAAAGTTCTTCCAGGAAGGAGCATAAGTTAATTAGCAAAGAAATCGATGAGGAATTGGCTAACTCCATTCGAAAGCAAAAGTATCACTTGTTCATGTCTCAGATCGAAATCAGTAGCCCCTTGCAGACTTAATAAATGAGGAGGAAATCTCTCCAGGAGCCAGTTTCTTTACATACATATACAATAATAAGGTGGACCAAGGCCAATTTATCCCAGTGACGTGAATCCCATGAGGATTTCCAAACTCATTATCCCCTGGAACCTGCTTGGGAACAAATTTACCAGATCTATATCTATCTGTCTTCTGCTCTGTGGTCTTCTTAGAGACATAAACAGTATATAGACATTCCGGCAGATGGGTAGTAACAAATCAATGCTTTGGGAGACTTTAACAAAGAAAACTGAGTGCAAATCTAATCAGATAACCAAAGTCCCAGGCACCAAAGTTAAGATAAACTTAACATTGCTAAAGGGCTCAACTAAATAATCCAAGTTCAATTCAGTGCTAAATTTACCTCACAGCCATGGGCAGGCTTGGCCTTTAGTAGGTGGAGACTGACTCAAGGGGTCTCAACTATGCACATTGCTACTGAGTTGAGGTTGCAGTCCACAGCAAAGAGAGTTTGACCAATTTCAGGAGAAACTCTAGCTGATGAGGCCCAGTCTCCAAAGATCACTAGGAACACAAAGTTAGGTGTATTAACTTGCAGCGGCAGGTTGATCTATAAAACGTCTCAAAAATTTACTTAACAAGGGGCACTTACAGGGTGGAGGTGACTGTAGTCAACTATAGGATGGTCTTGGCAGGGATTTCTCAGAATTTGTAAATGAGGGAGCTTCTGGAAGTGTCAGTGATCGGATCTTCAGACCATAACTCCATGCAGAGTTGCTATTACATCAGCTTATCTGTGGCCTTCTCTAGAACACATGAGCCTGAAAAATTTGGTGTTAAAACAGTTTGAATTTTGGTCACCTATCATGCACATCATGCCTGGATCTAGCAGTTTATCTGTTTTGCAAGTCAGATATGCACAGTTATGGTTTTTCTTTCAGTTTTTACCCATTCCTCTAGACATGGCATTTTTCTTAATCCTTAGGACATTCTTGATAGCTGGTTATTGCTATCCATTTTTACAAATGAGGAAACTGAGGCTCAAAGAGGTTGCATATTAGGTGCAGTGCCAGAGCCAGGGTTCACACGGGATCTGTGTATCTTCAAAGCCTATAGTTTTTCCACTAAACTGAGCATTCGCCTGAATGTCAACCTATCTCTGCTATTTATTAACTTTATTGCTGACAGAGTTTTGAATTTTCACTGGAGACATGCTTTTCCCTTATCATGTGTGATCTCAGTGGAACGGTAAGTCCGAAGTCCTGGCACCCCTGCCAAGGGAGTAGAAGTGGGTCCTTCCCAACTGTCCCCGTGTTCCTTCTACCTGGATCCCTAGGGCATCTCTAATTGTGACTTGTCTGAGACTTGTCTAGTTTTCCCCTTTCATTGGAGCCATATAACATATTTCTAGTAAATTCTAGTTTTATTTAGTTATCCAGAGTCTGTTTCAATTGCTTATAAAGTTCTTAATTACAACAGTGATAGCACACACTTCCTGGAAACTGTGGGAAGATTAAATGAAATTTTGCTCACAAAGCAATTAGCCCAATGCCTAGTACACAGTAAGTGCTCAATAAATATTAGCTGCTCTTACTATTACTACAAGCAATGATAATAATAATAATATGTATACCCAGAATGAGATGGACTTAGCAGTCTTCCATTCTGATCAGCAAGTAGTACCCTGGCCTAAATAGAGCACTACATGAATTAAAAATCTAACGAGGCCAGGCGCAGTGGCTCTAGGCCGGGTGCGGTGGCTCACACCTATAATCCTAGCACTCTGGGAGGCCGAGGCGGGAGGATTGCTTGAGCTCAGGGGTTGGAGACCAGCCTGAGCAAGAGCGAGACCCCGTCTCTACTAAAAATAGAAAGAAATTAGCTGACAACTAAAAATATACAGAAAAAATTAGCCGGGCATGGTGGCGCATGCCTGTAGTCCCAGCTACTCAGGAGGCTGACGCAGGAGGATCACTTGAGCCCAGGAGTTTGAGGTTGCTGTGAGCTAGGCTGACGCCATGGCACTCTAGCCTGGGCAACAGGCTAGAAAAAAATATATAACGTAAGGATTATTATTACTGTTTTGCTCCTCTTTGTGAGTAATCCCACCTATTTATATGGACTTCTATGGTTTATAAGGTTTATATAGACTTTTAGTGGCAAAGAAATTGTTTCTATTTTCCTGGATACTATTAATGCAACTTGGATGGCAGATACCAGGTACATGTTTGGCCTACTTGCTGGGCAAGTAGCTGATAGAAAGAGACTAATCAGGTTACCATTCTACAATAATATAACAGAGAAGGAAAACTGCCTACCAAAAATTCTTACGTAAGGCAGAGCTGTCATTAAAAGTGACAAGTGGCAAGAAACTACATGACCAGCCTTCCTTGCATTCAGAGGTGGCCATTTGACTAGATGTTGCTCATAGAATGTGAGTAAAAGTAACATATATCACTTCTGGCTGTGCCTCCTCCTCATAGCCTTCCCCCTTCCACTGGCTTCATGCAAAGGACTTTGAGACCTTAGGACAGGATAGAGTCACAGAGAGGAGGAGACTGGGTCCCCACATTGCCAGGTGGAGGAAAGCCATCTGCCTATTGGCCGGGAAAACCCACCGTGTTACATAAATGAAATTCTGTGGCTAATTTGTTGCAGCAGCTGTTATCCTAACCAATACAAAAGTTGACGTAGATACTCACATATAATTACAAATTTTTCCCTAACATAACCATGATTTAGAACAAGATATAAAGTCATGGCACTGAAGGGCAATTCCTGAGTAAGCTTCATCTACTATTATTATCATCGGCTGACTCTGATGTGATCCTTATAGACAAACGGTTCTCAATATTTTTCCCCACACGTCTGACAACTAGTAAAAAATCCTAGATATGATAGTGGGTACCAAAAAAGAAACCAACAGGTAACATCTCCTCCTCATAAGAGAAGAGACACAGTTTGATCTCCATAACAGTTCAACTGAGAATCTTTTCCTAGGCCCAACTGTGTTTTCCCTCCATCTTTTCTAACAATCAAAAAGGTGTCTGAAAGGGCATTTATTGAAACCGTAAAATCTGTACCCCCATAATATGCCAAAATAAAAAAAAATAAAAATAAAAAAGGTGTCTGGGAAATGTATATTATCTCAGTACATCAGAGCAGCTTTGCCTCCAGGAACCTATAGATGACCTCAGAGGAAGTTTACATAAAAACAAAACCAAAAAAGCTATGGGCTGCTACATTTGGCCTGAACCTATTTGCTTAAATTTATCAGAAAGAGGTAATTTGGGAGGACATACATCCATTTAACAATCACAACATCCCTCCCTTCATTTGTCTGCTTCACATCTTTTCACTTTTCATTTCAAATTATTTATTTTAAGCTAATACTATGAGAACCCTCTAATCGTCTTCTTCCAGTTAAAAAATTTCAACATCTGGCCTTACTAATTTGTTAGACTTCTCTCTAGCCTCTGAACTTCAAAGAATCATACAAAATATCTATTTGATTCCTTGGGATGATCTTTCAAGAGCTGAACACTGATTAGTCTGAGCCTTTTGTTTCCTAAATTGCTATATTTTAGACACATTTGACTAAACACTTTTGGAACAGATAAAAAGTGGTTTCCTGACATTAAGCAATAAAAACTATATGTAAAGTAAAATTCTTGTTCATTTGATAAAGGATTGGACCCATGGAAGAATTCAGGATGTGATGCAAGTATACAACTGGTAGTTAATTATTCCCTGGATTTTTTGTTTTGTTTTGTTTCGGTTTGGTTTTTTGATGTGTGTTTGTGTTTTGTTTCATTTTCATGAAAGGATTTAAGGCACAAGCTTTATATGTTTAAGTGCATATTGCTCAATTTACTGGAAATTCCTGAATGGTTTATGAATTAGAAGGCAGCAGGACATCATAAAGGCTATAACAACCTATATATGAAAAAATCTTTTCACACTGTTTCCTGAGAAAAGAAAGGGTGGCATTGATAACAAAGGCAAACAGTCCTCACTGTGGTATAGTACTCGCTGCTTGCTTTCATTCCCACAGGTAATACTATAGCAGCTTTCTTGTCTGTCTCCCTCTGCTGAATGTAAATGCAGTTTAATAAGCATTTTGAGTGTCTACTATATGAAAGGCCACAGGAATTTTAAAATGAGTAAGACACGTCCTCAGCCTTCTAGGGGTTTCTGGTCCAGGGAAATACATGCAGTAAAAGGAATTAAATTGGGGATGATGGAAAGTTCTAGAGACGGAGAGTGGTGATGGCTGCACAACAGTGTGAATGTACTTGATGCCGCTGAACTGTGCACTTAAAAACGGCTGAGATGGTATATTTTATATTATGAATATTTGACCATACGTGAAAAAAAGAAGGAACTGGAAACTCTGTCCTCTCCATCTTCTGTCAGAGAAATAATGAATCAAAATCAATCAAGTGGCAGCGGCACCCTTCCTTGAGCGAGAGAGAAGAATGAGAAGCCAGTGCGCGTGGTTTTCTGGCTGGGATGGTGTCAGGCCCCGGCAGGTGGAAAAGACTCAGACATGTCTCAGCACCACCATGGGCTGTGCATTGCTCCTAGAAGGCAAAGTCACGCTGGGGGTAAGTGTTCCTTCTTGGAGATCTACGTGACCACGGTATCTCTGAGAAAGATTAATTAATGATTGTGACAAGTGTGTTCCCCTTAGAGGTGACCCAGTAAAGGCAGCTGCTGGGCTCCTGCTCTCGCAGACAGGCAGGGCCAGCTCCCGGGCACGAGACCCGGGCAGTCACACGGGGCCATGCTGAGAAGCGTGCCCGTGCTTGGGTTAGTGCTCTGTTGTCACCATCTCAAAATTCTTAACAATTTTTTTAAATGAGAGGTCCCACATCATCATTTTACACTAGGCCCAGAAAATTAGGTAGGCAGCCAGTCCTGCAGGGGCAGGGAGGACATGACCCCTTTCTCCCCCGAGCCTCTGGAAGGGCAGGCAAGAAGGACAACGGCCAGGAGGATGCAGCCCGGGACGTTTCGACACTCGTGAGAAACCAAAAGGAACCCAGAGAGAGAACTCTCCCATGGAAACGAGTAGAGCTGTCTCTCAGATCAAGAGACCCCAAAATGGGGTGCATGGGATGTGTGTTTGTGCGTGCACGTGTGCACAGTGGGGTGTGAACCCAGGCAGTGGCACCAGCAGCGTCCACAAGTCACAGCTTGCAATGCCATCCCTGAGGGAGTCACTCTCAGTTCACTGGAACTTCAACCTCTATAAAGCCTTTCTGAGAACACGCAGCCCTTCAAAAAAGATCTTTATATTTGACATTAAGGTAAGTCACATGGGTCTGCGGGAAGCTCATGGGACCTTCCTTCTGAGCCCCAGCTTGGAAAGGCGCGGGCGCCCACCTTCCCACCCGGTTGCGCCCAGGCCGGCGGAGGCTCTCTGCAGTAACCCCCACGATGCAGGGGGTGCCCAGGAAGTGCCAACCTTCGTGACTCACCCTTCCCGTAGCAAGGATTGCCCCATAGGAAGAAAGAAAGACACAAAGACTGCCAGTGTTATGTTGGCAAACAGATTAAATCATTATTATACAGTATAATTATTATCTATTTTTGTACTGTTTAAATTTTTTTATCATATATATGTAACTGGCTTATTGAGCCTATCAACTCATTGGGATGTAAACCTGATTTTTTTTTGCCAGGAGGTATTGCTAGATGTCTCATATGAGTAATGCCTTCCTTAATATCATCTTGACACCGTTACATAAAGTTTTCAGACACTCTGACTTCTACAAACAATATCCTTTTCATTTCTAAGACTCGGTCACATTTATTTTTAAAACTTCAACATTACACCTGATTCAAATCTCTTATCTCCACTCCCACCCCCACCCCAAGCCCAGGCCAGAGCCTTGTCGTGACTGATCTGAAGTGGAGGGGTAGGTTGCATGATCTGACTTCTACGGGTGGGTCGGAGGGAGAAGGAAAAGAACAAAAAGCATCCTCTTGATGGGCCAGGCCTACCTGATTTGCTGCAGTCCTGCTGAGTGTGGCAGCGATTGCTGTTCCGCCACTTGTGCACCACTCAGGGCCGCGGGCATAGATGGGTTCTGGCTCCAGCGTGGCCCGCTAGTAAAGAGCTCAGTACCCACAGCTGGTCGTCTCCAATTCCCAGGTGAAACAGACAGGCCCAAAAGGAATAAAAATGATAGTCACCCTTTTGGAAGGTTGCCCTTTTTTAAAAAATGAGAATTCTTCCAGGATCTGGATGGCCTTGGGAAAAACAAGCAACTCCTCCCCAGAAACGTGAGTGGGGAGACGGCCCCTCTTCTCGCGTCGACTGTGTGGAGGGAGGGGTTGGTGGCAGAGCCGGTTTCTGCATTTGCTTCCGTCTTCAGCCTGCAGGGAGGTAGCTGAACCGCCCGAACCTTGCTCTGAACTTGGAGTGTAGGATTTAGCCGTTATTCTGGGACAGTCTGACAGCTTGTTTGTCAACACATGTATTACCTGTATTAAAAACAAAATAACAATGATAATTATATATGGCCCGTGAAATGATGGCAGAGGTATGCCTAGAGAACACTTTCTGAACACAGAAGCCTACAAGGAAGGATCAAGGACAATTTGCTAAGTCAGAATTGGAAAGTAGACATTTTCCTACTGGAAGTGTAAAGAGGTGGAGCAAGGTTTCTCCACCTTGACAATACTGACACATGGGACAGATGATTCTTTGTGACGGGAGGCTGACCGTGCATTCCTGGCCTCTACACGCTCAGTGCCAGTAACGCCCCTCCCAGGTTCTGACAAACAGAACTGTCTGCAGACCCTGCCAGCTGTAGACCCTCAGTGCTGCAGACCCTGCCAGCTGTAGACCCTCAGTGCTGCAGACCCTGCCAGCTGTAGACCCTCAGTGCTGCAGACCCTCCCTGCTTCTTGGAGGGGAAAAATGGCCCCTGATTGAAAACCACTGGGGTGGAGTCTTATAGGCAGAGGGAAAATCATAACCAAAGGTGCCAGGTGGGAAACAGCGTGCCGTTTCTGAAAGCTACACCTAGTTCCATGTTACTGGGAAATGAAGCGCCGCACAGGGAGTGGTGGGAGGTAGGAATGAGAACACGGGAGCCTGGTAACGGAGGGTCTGGCAGGGCAGATGTGACGCGATGCCCTCCCTGCGGTGATGGTGGGTCTCAGAAAAAGAATCACATAATCTGAATGAATTTCAGACAGATGGGAAGAGGACGCGGAAGAACAAGACTCGGGGCAGTTGGACCACTCAGGAGCTATGTCACAAGTCAAAACACAGATGATGAAAAGCCCCTAAACTGGAGGAGTGGAAGGAGGGGCAGGAACAAACTGAAATGTACGTGGGGAGTGGAGGTGGACCGTCCTGCCGCTGATGGAAAGAGGACACGGAAGGATGGGCTTTCAGGCTCCGTGTTGTATGTTAAGAGCTCGGCCCATGGAAATCTATTTCATCTTGACAGCTTTCTGAATTTTCAAAGGATGAAATGTTCTGAGAATTCAAACAAGGATGCTTATATTTTGATCCTTACAACCTTAGGTAACTTGTTCAACACGCAAATCACCACAAACAACACAGCTGTGTTTTGTCAATATAGAACCTCACTGCCGTTGTGACATTACTCCAACATTGGCCCAACTACCCATGAAAAGTTGTCATGGCTTTGATATTATCTCTGGAAATCAATGAAAAAGAAAACACGAGAGAGGCCCAGGTGTCACGAGGAGAAAGGAGCTCCTTGCAAAGAACACGGCACGGACGACGTTGCCCCAGGTTGGCACTTTCTCTTGGAAGAGAACCTGGCTACGACTTTGCTTTGGCACATTACAAATTAACTCCAATGGAAACTCATTTCCAACAAGGAAAATTATGGAGCAACAGTAGAGATGCAAAAGCAAAACAGCCTTGTCATAGAATTGATAAGCCAGTATCATCAGCACTTTTTTGTTTTGCTTTTTATTTTCGAATATTTTCATTATTTCAAAATTTTGAGGGGATATAAAAGATTTTGTTACATGGATACACTTAGTAATGCTAAAGTCAGGGCTTTCAGTGTGCCCAGCACCAAGACAGTGTTCATCATACCCAACAGGTAAGTTTTTACCCCTCATCCCGCTCCCACCCTCCTCCCTTCTTATAGTTTCCAACATCCTTTAGGTCTTTATGTGCCCATGTGCACTCGTCATTTAGCTCCCGCTTATTAGTGAGAACACGTGGCGTTTGTTTTCCCATCCCTGAGCATTTTTAATGTACTGTGTGGGGTGAATCTTTTAAAAGGAGCTTTGTCTCCTAAATAAACTTTTCCTGGTAAGCAACCCAGGAAGTTTAGCTCCCCTCATTAGCCTCTTTTTCTGTTCTTCTCAGTGGCCCAGATCATTTAGACTGATAAGCAGCAGCTGAACTACACAAAAAGCTCCTGAAAAACAGCAGCTAAGGGAGGACAGGAAACAGGCAGAATTCTGCTCTACTGACATAAATCTCCAAAGGCAAATCCAAAGTCTGGCATATGTGGCTACAACAGTGCCCCCAAATGACACAGAAATGCATTTGCCCGATTTTGCTAAGTATATTTTTCACATGTTACCATCACAAGAACATAAAAAGGATTCCATTTGCTACTTGACATATTCATTTCCAATGGCTTTCATGTCCGGATGAAGATTTGGAGACTCTCCAAACGGCACACAATGACGTGAGAGGAGGAAGGAAATGAAGAAGGTAGGGTGACGAGTAGGGAGGGGATAAGAGAAATTTGCATTTCTCTTTATGTTCCACTTTTAACAGGCTATAACCATTACCACTACTGATGTGGTTTCAGCTAAGTTGCAAGCAAGCTCGTGCTTGCACTAGGAGAGCTGATTTCCAAGTTAAAATATTATGTATGGGGAAGCGTAAGGGTGTCTACATTTCTTAGGTATCCCTTGGTTAATGGCATCTGTGCTTCATTCTTGGTTGCCCCTTGCAAATTGCTTCACTTTTCTCCATAACATAGTCCTAACTGGTAAAATGGAAAGAATGCAGCCAGCACCACTCTGTGAGTACAGGCTATATTCGATGTCTAATTTGACCTCTGTAGAAATACCTCTAGGGCAGTGCCACTTAAAGTATGCACCATGGACCAGCAACATCGGCATCACCTGGAAATGTATTAGAAACTCTGAATGACAAGCCCCACCCTAGATTTTCTGAATGAATCAGAATTTGTGATCGTGATGGTTTAAGGACCACACTTTGAGTAGCACTGCCCTAGAACCATGTAGCTTATCTGCAAACTGTCTGTTTCGAGCCCACTATTAGATAAGTGCGGACTTTGGTTGGAAGCATTTAAACATTTATGGTCATTTGACCTGGTGGCTGCTGCATGCAAGCACAGAGCAATGGAAACTCATCTCCTTCAATAGGAGTGGACCAGTGGGAATTTCAGGCCTTGTGTGGTGAGTTGGATGTGGCACAAGTTGCTACCAGGCATGGACAACAGAAGCACTGATACAGTTTGGATATTTGTCCCCTCCAAATCTCATGTTGAAAGTAGATCCACAGTGGTGGAGGTGGGCCCTAGTGGGAGGTGTTTGTGTCATGGGGGCAGATCCCTCACGAATGGCTTGGTGCCCTTCCCATAGTAATGAGTGAGTTCTCACTTTGGGCAAGAGCTGGTTGTTTAAAAGAGCACAGACACCCCCTCCTCTTTCTCTTGTTCCTTCACTTACCACGTGACACACCTGCTCTCCCTCTGCCTTCCACCATAAGTAAAGCATCTCTCACCAGAGAGGCTCTCACCAGAAGCACATGCTGGTACCATCCTTCTTGTCCAGCCTGCAGAACCATGAGCCAAATAGTCCTCTTTTCTTTATAAATCACCCGGCCTCAGGTATTTCCTTCATAGCAACACAAATGGACTAAGACAACTACTCAGTCAGGATGGATTTTAAAAAAGAAAAGAAAAAGGAAACTAGACCTTCATCACAGTGTTTGAAAAGCACTACTCTAGAGCAGGGGTCAGCAAACTTTTTCTATAAAGGACCAGATAGTAAATATCTTAAGCTCTGTAGATCATGAGGCATCTGTCACAACTACTCAACTTTGTCACTATAAAATAGCAATGGGCCATATGTAAGCAAATGAGTGTCACTGTGTTTCAATAAAACTTTAATTGCCAAAACAAGTGGAGGGCCACATTTGGCTATTTCCTGTGCTAACTCCTATTTTATTTACTTTTTCTTTTCTGTGTGCTACATCCAAGTTGAGAATAACTCCTATTTTAGAGGATGGGTGTTAGCCAAATACAATGCCACCAGAAGATTATCCACTTTACCCAATACAAACCCTTACTTTTGAGAACCCAAGAGAAGATGGAACACACAGCCACCATCCCTTACTTTTGTCAGTGATTTTTCCCTACTTGCAGTGGCCATAGCAGAAATCGAACCTGCTCTTCCCCTTGTGTTCCTGTAATAGTGGGAAATCTCTTAGGACAAGGCCAGACACATCCGGACAACCCTCAACTACCAACCTAGCAAAACAAAAGGAAATGTCCATATCAGAGAAGGAAAAAGAGAAGTCCCCCTTCCTCTAGTTCAGGATTCTCCAAACTGTGGCCCACAAGCCATATTCAGCCCGCTGCCGATTGTTGTAAATAAAGTTTCATTGGAACAAAGCTATGCCCATTTATCTAAACCTTGCCTATGGCTACTTCCAAGCCAACATGGCAAAGTTGAGTAGCTGCAACTGAGACTTATGGGTTGCAAAGCCTAAAATATATACTATTTGAGTCTTTACAGATAAGTTTGCCACCTCTGCTGTAGTTCCTCCTCCCATGACTGGCAGCCCCTTGTTCCAGAAAGCTGCCAGCAAATGGATAAGATGACAGGTTTCCATGTTACCATTAATAGGACTGTCGCCAACAACTTCCTTTGGAAAATCTTCCTCTGCCGAACAAACCGGCACAGACAGCGAGCCTTCCTGCTGAGTTTCTTCCAAGTTTCTTAGTGGCTTTCAAGTTCCTTGTAAGTAAGTTATTTTTCTATTAAAACTATATAGACAGAGTTACTTATTCATGAGGCAGCCGGTTGGCCATGTAAAGGCAGCAATAATCTGGTGCCTTTTTTACATTAAATTCATACAAAGAATGTTAAAAGCCTTGACAAGCACAAAGGTTGAAGGGCAGACCATATCAACTTTGCGTCTAGACCTCTGGATCAGTCCCAAAGTGGGTGAAGGGATCAGGAAGAACAGTTGCTAAACAAACGGAGTCTCTTATTTCCCAGACAATATGGGACTGTTTTTGTCAAAGCTTCAAAGAATTGAAAGCATCATAAATACATGGAACAAACTTCAACAAACAAAATCTTCCGGCCTTTGAATTCATTGTAACACTCCTAACATGGCAGGAAAGTAGGCTGCGATGGTTGTGTAAAAGCAGAAATCCACAAAAAAAGCACTGTGTAACATGGTGTTAACATAACACAGTTGTTTC